AGGGTACCGGACGTGGTGGTGGGGTGGGGTGGTGTGTGTGTGTGTGTGTGTGTGTGTGTGTGTGTGTGGCCTTCGAGGCTTCGACGCGACCGCCAACGCCAGCCAGCGGGAAAACGGAAGGCTCCGAGCGATTGATTCCAGAAGGAAATGGGGATCAGGTGGCTGACACAGGGGGGTTGAGCGGCTGGGATTCGCTGTGCGCCAAGTGGGACCGCCACTCCAGCCTGGGCCCGCCGGTTGCTTCTCCAGGCCTTGTCAGCGTGGCCAAGCGTCTGGCTAGCTCATGCTGCCAGACCAGGCACGCACGCGAGGTCCGAGAGAGGAAACCCCCCATGTGGCAGTTGCTTGGCTGCGGTTTGCGCGTGCGCAAGAATCAACTGCGGACGAGTTGCGGCGGGGGTCGCTCAACCCGGAAGCAGAGTGCCACACACACCACGGCTGCTTCTTTATTTCCGACATGACCGCCTCCACACCTCCTTCTGCTGCCCCTCCCCCGTTCGATTTTGCCGGCAGGGCAGGACAGAAGATGTGAACCTTGGCTCTATATCAAGGTCGTGAGGCGCCGCGCTGGGCGAACCAAACCGGCGGATCAACTGCGCTGGACGCGCATGCTCCCAACCCTTTTCCCGGAAAAGTCGACGGCAACGCAGCATCGGGTGCCCGTTGTGTAAGGCAGGAGGCAGGTGCTGCGCTCGGACGCCAGGATGTGAGTCCGCCGGGATCAAGGACCGGGAGGCACGTCGTCGAGGTGGCCCTGTCGCGGTACTCGTCCCGTCCACGCGCAGCCCTTGCCCGTCGGAACACCTCCATACATACCGCTTGACCAGGCATGCGTCAGCCGATATTCAACCATGGTTGCATCCTGCAACCGTTTTCTGCAGCCACGTCTTGGCTTGTACACGGTAGCTTCTAGGTATTGACTGCTGTATACATCTGGGTAGATTGCTTCCAACATACCAACTTAAGAGTACCGACCTACGTGGTACGCATTCAATGATCCGTCGGGCCCCCGGACCATCCTCTCCATGATCGCTGGCACAACGCCCATGGGACAGCATCCGGTGGTAATCCAACTGAGCACCCGTGATCACCAAGGAAGCTCACCGGTGCCAGGGCCGTCAGCATCAGCCATCCATCAGGTGCCAGGTGCCACACCCTCCCTCCCGCCTGTAGGATCAGCGCGGACGGGTTCTTGCCATCCTCGGCTTCACCGGGAAGCACCGCAACGGGGCGGGGCCACCACTTCGACCATAATGCTGCCCTGGAAGCAAGTCAGCACGTAAGCCGTGGTATTCGTACCCATGCCTAGTAGGTAGGTGGTAGTTGCCAGGCATGTGGCCAACCATGTCCCGACACCAGGTCCCGACACCATGTCGTTAGGGTGGCCTCAAAGATGACAAGGGTAATATAGCATGGGAATGGCGCCTAATTAGAGGTCCGGCGTTTTGACTCGTCACCATTTCAACGCAACGTAATCTCCCAGCCTGCCGGGCGCACAAAAAGACAGCCCGGCTTGGTTCGGATGCACGCCGTTGACAGCCACGGCGAGACCTCCACGTTGCTCGTCAGGATGGGCGGCGGCGCAAACTGTCGAACCGGACCTCGTTTGGCAAAAGGACTGTCTCTTCTTCACATGCCATGTGCCGAGCGTTGAACTCGGCGCGTTTTCGATAGGTGGACTAACTTTAAGGGCGGCAAGGACGGTCAACAAAAAAACGGCTTTTTTCTCTCTCCAACGGGCAAGCGCACTTTCTTTGGAGGCGTCCCGTCGGCCGATAGGGTTCTGGAAGCATTCTACTGACTGATGGGTGGAGAGGCAGCTGCTCCGCAAAACCGGGGCAAAACCGGGGCAAAACGTGCCTTCCATGTGAAATGGAATGATGGACATTGGGGCATTGAGAAGAAAGATATCAACCCCATTTGATTGGCGGGTTTTATTGCGATCTAGAAAAGCGGTCACGGCCTGTCTCGTGACAACATCATCTCTCCCCAGGTTCCATCCGCACAACATGCCGATGCAGCCAGGTACGTGACATTGACGAATGCGACTTGAAAATTCCAGAAAGGAATAGCATGAGCCCGGGACATTGGCAATCCCAAAACAGCGGTTGGCCACAAGGTCCGACCACCGATCAACAACCGTGGAACATGGGACCTTCCAACTCTAGAGAAAGGCATGAAGATGGACTCCTGTCAATTCTCGCCGGTGTTACTTCAAATCTTCATAATTACCCGTACCCTCGAAGTCGCCAACGCCGGCTCGGAAGGGGCACCGACATGTGGAAAGCCAAGAACCACTGGACGCATGTGACACCGATCGATGATGCGCATCCAAATCCGGCCGCCGTCCTCGATGCCGAGGGCGGCTAAAAGTGCCAATGGGGTTGCGTGTGACGGCGATCCACGCCCGGCCGCGGATGAGCCATGCCCTCATGCCCACCACATGCGTCTTGCTTGCCCCCCCTCGCGTGCCGCACGCACAGCGTTGACCGGCATGGGAGTGGATGGTGTTGCGACGGGCACAGCCTTTTCCACGTCGGACAATCAGCCGCCGCGCTCGAGGGGGATTTAAAGACCATCTGTCTAACTAATTTCGTCCCCCGATAAACAGTCTCCCCTGTCGGACGCGGGACCGGTGAGCGACAGGATTTGCAATAATACGACGACGCCCACATCGCGTAAACTCTCACGGTCTGTGTCATTCTCACAGGGGGGGGGGGGGGGGCTGCCGTGCCCACCCAAGACCCTGCCTGGAGTTAGAGTTTTT